GACGTTGTTACAGACCTGGATATACGAGTATTTTCCTGCGTTTCGACCACACCGCGACCCGGTTCCCATTGGTGATGGCCAGCCACGTGCCTGTGCGTGGAGTCCGCGTGTCGAGAAGAAGTCCGTTGACCGCCTGCGCTCCATACGGTTATCGCTTGACAGGATGTCCCCCTTAGAGGTACAGTGATTAAATTATTTCTACTTTTACAATCTGATGCTTTATTTTATGACTGTTACTGATTTTAAATAATGTGCAGGTGAACTGGATGCCTTTCGGCCAGAACCCTAGTAATAGGGTACCCAGGACCCTCTACACTGGACTGATTCAGTATCGCGAGATCGTAGAGGCGTACATGCCGCAGCGCTGTCTTCGCCAGCTTGGATTTGTCCAAGTTGTCCCACCTCCACCGGCATGGCCCAGTAAGGCGGTACGATCTGCGTCGTCGAAGGAGTACGTCGTCCAATGGCCGTCAAACATGATATCCATGTGGGAGCAGTTTCCGATGGTTGCCCGCCTATGGACGGCGGAGCTGCAGCGGCCGCCAAGTGGGGTGACTGCCATGTGTGACCAGCACTACATGGAATGGTACATCCGGCACTCGCACCCGAGGTTGATCAAAGACATCGACGACGCAGATGATGACGATGTGCCACCTGCCACTGCCTCTTATGCGGTACGTCTCATCTTTTATTTGTTGTTCTCTTATTTTAATATATATATGTATAATACGTCGTTTCATGTTTTTTGTTTTGTGTAGTGGATGGGCAAGATTATGCAGTTGGGACACCGACTTTTTGAGGAAAGGGACTGCATGACGAGTGCATCAGGCAGAGCTGTTATTGACGATCTGGAACGGACCCTTGAGCAGTGGCAGTGGGCGTCACAGAGGGATTACTGATATTTGAAATTAGACATTATCTTTTTAGTTTGTAATATTTGACATTATTGTTCTTAGTTTTTAAAATTCAATATTATCATTTTATTTTGTAATACTTGAAATTATTGTTGTTAGTTTTTAAAATGAAACATTATCTTTTAAAAATGAACACATAGAAATGACATAGTATTGACAATACAAGGCCTCATAGTAAAAGGTAGGTGTACATCAACAAAAACTACATGGCAATTAAATTGTTCCACTGTTGCACGCGAGCATGGTACAAAGCATCCCAACCCTCCACGCTTGCTCTACGAATTTCATACCACTTCGGTATGATATTTGGGACCGGAAAATCGGGTGACATGTCTAATCGGATAAAATGTCTGTATGACGGCCCAAGAAATCCAATAACAACGTCCCTTACCGGTCTGGTGACGGTCTCGCGCGAACACCAGGGCAGAACCGTTGTACATGGATAATAGGCTCGACTATGTAAACCAAGGCCGAAATGCATGACTGCACACTTGTAGATGTTTGCAACGGCAAAGAGATCAAGTGGCGCATCGAACCAATGATTTTGACCGCAAGGTCCCCCTCCCCACCGGATACGCTGCAGAGACCTATCCAAGTCCTCGCCGTACACATGGCCATACACATCTCGGTTTGATGCGATTTCACTGTACATCAACTGCCGCACTAAACCGTAGTTGTCTTCACCCATTTGAAACACATCCGCCACAACCCGAAATCCGCAGTTACCATCTGCAATGACATCATTCCACCCGTCCAAGAATGGCATCATGATATTAGGGATCCTGTCCTTATATGGAAAATGTTCAATGTCCATTCTCCCTGTTACACACATCAATAAACACAATAAACAAGTCAACAGTAAACTAATCAAACAGTCAACAAAAGAAATTGAAGTCGAATGTCTTACCGGTGCCGGGCATATTCACCGACGACGATGATTGGCTGCCACTTGATGAGGATGTACGACCACGGCCACGGCCACGGCCACGACCGCGAATGTACTCAAACGCACTCTTGTTCCGCCGTGGTTGTCGACCCCTAGGTCGCTCGACCCCTTCCGGTTCCTCGGTATCCAAACACGATGTATTGAACATGTCATGAAGTATGTGTGTAGCACTACGAATGATCGAAGGGTGACTGGAGGACACTTGGTCAAACATCATCTGAAACTGCTCCAACTCCTCCTGTTCACGGTGAACCGTATGCGGAACAACATGCTCTCCGATAACGAGCGTCCGCCAGAATGGATGAACCTGATCGACATGTAACGACGCCCTGTCTTGCGTAATTACGCGGTGAATGGTGCATGCACAAGGTAATCCATGAGTCATTGATATAGCACATCCGCACCGAATAGCCACTTCATCGCCCAACTCCCTCATCCTGGTATACTCGCTCAGAATCAACCCCAAACAGTGGTGTGACACACGACCGTGGAGAATCTTAAATACTCGCAGCCGTCTCATCCTTCATGACTGCATAACCAATCAGAAAGTTCTGGTTCGTTGGAGCCATCCCAACCATCTCAACCAGTGGGAACTTGTACTTGTTTGTCTTGTACGTTGAATCGATCAAAATCACAGATGGCCAAGACGAAATCATATCAGCACAATCAGGATGGACAAGGAACAAATGAGTTACCTCCGATGTGTCTTCGTCAGATTCAAACCAGTAAAGGTAACCACGTGCTTGTGCCTGGTGCAGAAGCTGCTGTATAGGGTTCCTTCCCTCTGACCGTTCAAACCTCAATTTCTGTCTGACGTTGTAGATGTGTCTTCGGTTTGGCTGGTCTTCGGGGAATTTCTCTAACACAGACGCTAATATTTTAGCGGGCTTCACTTGAGCATCACTCATTTCTTTTACAACTAGTTTCGCAGCTGGACTTAGGCCGCTTAACTGCCGATGCCCCACTTTGTATGCTATCAGCTCATGGTTGTGATATCCCCATTTGTCGTAACCCTTCACTTCCCAACCGTCACGCCTTTGATGTTGTCGAACCTTAACTCGGAACTGACACCCACAACCTTTCCGCTTTGAGTCAAACCGAATCGTTTTACTGAAATCTCGTTCTTCTCTTTTGCGATAACGGTCGCATCTCAAAATGCGATCCATTCTACCATCCCGTTGAGATTTATGAGTTGCTACTACTAAACAAAAGCCTGATCTAATTGCAACCTGTTTTGCCCAATCAATCGCTTGTTGAGCATCTTCGAACAGGCCATCATGTACAAAAATCCCACTGTAATCATTTCCGTCTCCACCATAATCCTGTAACAATAACATATAACGTATAAATATAATTACATTAAGATTAAATTAACAAAAACAAACAAAAAAAAAAAAAAGGGGATTAAATTAAAAAATAAAATAAAAAAAAAAAAAAAAAAAAAAAAAATATTCCCCTACTGGCGCCTGGCCAGGACGCCGGAGCCACGGCCGGGGCGCCTGGTCAGGACGCCGCCGCCATGGTGGCGGCGTGGTGGCCAGGCGCCTTGGCCGTGGCTGCGGCGTCCTGGCCACGCGCCACTACTATGGTCGAGGCTTCTCCACCAGGCGCCGTGACCACGGTGGCGGCGTCCTGGCTAGGCGCCACAACCACGGCATGGCCTTTTGGCTAGGCGCCAGCCACCATTTCGTCCTTACGATGCGTTACGAACCTCGTTTTCCGATGACGACGGCGATTCTCCGGTGATCCTCGGCGATCCGGTGCTGCTCCACATTTTTTTAGTGCGAAAAATTTATCTTCCGTTAAAATTATAAAAAGGGCAAATTTGTCAAAAAATTATAAAATGTGGGCTTTATGTAGAGATTTGCGGGCGATGAATAACAAGTCCCTAAATAAAAGCCCATCATGTTTTCTCTATTTTTCTCTTCTCAAGTTAGCTTTCTTCTTCACATTTCATAAGCATCACCATTACTTCAACGTGTCAAGATCTAAAGTTTATCAATGTTATAAACCCAAGCTGCCTCATATATACCCTAGTCCCTAGCAATATTAGAGTTTACCTATCCGGCTATCCTAGTATATATAATACAGTACTAAGGGCCTGTTCACATTTACTGAACTGAGCTGAACTGATTAGAGCTGAACTGAATTGAGCTGAAATGAATATTTTATGAGAGAGAGAAATTAAGAGCTGAACTGAACTGAACTGATTGGAGCTGAAATGAATATTTTATGAGAGAGGGAAATTAAGAGTTGAACTGAACTAAACTGATTGGAGCTAAACTGAATTGAACTGAACTAAAATTAAGTAAAATGTGAACAGGCCCTAAGTATGGACAAATAATAATTATGCTCACAAGGAGCGAGCATGTATTAACAAGCATACATGATGTTTTGCATATGAGTTATTATCAAGTCTAGTGAATGTAGGATATGAAGAGCACCTTCATTGTTGGCAGTTAAGAGTTCCATTAGCTAGCTCTTTCCCACTAATAGCATTAAGTTTAGACTTTTGTGACGGCAATTGTGCAGGTAAATTAGTATAGTACTTATTCCTTTAACAACTCGAAACATCGTTCAGTCCTTAAAACTAGTTTAATTTCAATTTTAGTTCCTTAACGCTTTAATCAATTCCATTACTTATTCCTAAGAAGATACAGTTGATGATTAACTTTTCAACAAAAAAAAATCAATTCTACAACTGTTCAATAAAATGCATTTTATCGCCGAAAGACGAGGGATCCAATAACTCTAGTGTGTATATCCATTAAATACCCACACACTTAGTAATAACGTCATGGTCCAACTTTTCAATTTTTTATGAATTATCAAAGAGACTACTACAAGTGAATTGGCTTAGCAGCCTTGACAAATTTTCATATGATTAGAGTATTAGACAATTGCTACCCTAAAATGTGGACAACAAACACATGAAATGATTCAAATAAAATTGAAAAGTGGTTGCACACCACGTAGGATATCAAATTATCAAATAGTGGTTGGTGCTACAATTTGACTTTGTATAAATATTAACCAAGTCAAAACAAGACAATGTGCTAGCCTCCTAACCGCGTCACCTAATCCATAATTTTCTTGTTATATAATTCTATCTTATTATATTTTATTAATATTATTCCTCTAAATCCCTAATATATTGGCTCGTTCTTACAACATTTTATGATTAAATAATCCAACACACTAATAATACAAATATTACAACCTTGCACAAACAATAAAAACATCCCTCTCTTTCATTCATTCTTCTTGCCAAGTTTTTTCAACAATCTTTCTGTCTCTTTAATTTTTCCGGAAATTTTTGGGATAGAGGTGGAAAATCAAAGAAAAACCCAGAAAAATTCGAGGAAAACCCAGAAATTTCATTGCAAAAAAAGTCAATAAAATTGATCAATTATGTGTCCTTTAAGATTTATCTTGGTATTTTTCTCAGCGATTTTGGCTGGGTTTTTGGCATGGAGATCATTTCGTTCTGCACCCGACCTTGATACCACCTTTTCTGAAGATTTGGTAGCTGATAAACCTGCATCTTCAATGGATGATCACCAAGAAAGGAACCTTAAAATGGTAAACATTCTCTTTTTTAAAAAAAAAATATTTTTTTGAGCTTTTATTATTTTATTTTATTTCTATTTTCACTTTTTTATTTTTCTAAATTTTGGGATTTATTTTCAGATAATTCAAGATGGTTTCTGGGTATTTGTTGACATGGCTAGTGGAAGATACTTGTGGAGAAATTTGAAGGGGATGAAAGCAGTGGAGAAAGCAAAGAGCTGCTAAAACTTCTCAATTTCATATCCTTGTATTTTTCACTTTGTTGAATTTGAGATTTTTTTTTTCTTTTTTTTTTCGGTGTTAACATAGCCACAAAAACGATGATGTAGACGGTATTCAATCTGGTGTCACGAATATGAGTTACCTTGTAAGTTACCAAGAAATACAATTGTGTAAATTTAGTTCTGACTTAAAGAATCTGGGAATTTTCCTGTGTCAAATAACATTGTAATTGTAATTGGGCATGATTTCTGAAAAAGAGATTTAACCCAGTAGAGCTTTTAATCCAAAAATGTGACTATGTTAATTATCTTGGACTGATTTTTGGCTATTTTTCTGGGGTTTTGTCTTCTAATATTTGGATTTGAAGTCAACCGACAGTTGGGAAAGATTGTTAATCACCCCTTTGTAGCTTTTACAGCAGGGAAGCTCAATGTGTAAGTTGTAATTTGCTCAATGTGTAAGTTGTAATTTGCTCAATGTGTAAGTTTTGATTTTATGAACCATACATTATGCTGGAATTCTCATCAATGTCCGGGGTTAGACTATTTGATCAAATCCCGCCCTATGCATCCTGAAACTGCACCTTTTTAGTCGAGAAAATCCTAAAACTCCTACATACTATGACCACAACATCCAAAAATGAATACTTTGTATACATTACATGAGAAAGCAAAAGGTCACACCAGAAGGCTTTTATAGTTTTTGGTTCAGCGGACCATAATGTTTCTATCTTTTTACAACACAAGATATGTACAATTGTACAGGACTCAAGAAAAGTTGGATACTCCAAGCTTAGATCATCATATAATTCTACCTTAGATCAACCTGTAGTTTAACAGACATGTACACAAGCACGAGGAGTGCGCCTTGAGGAACTGGTGCATAACGCAAAATATTGGATCCAACCCACATGGCGATGACAACAAGCGTGACTATGCTACTGCTATTTTTGCCACATATCCAGCTTGCAAGAGAGAGACACAAGGAAAGCAAACCACCGTTGACCACCCAATACCCAAGCAATCAGGTAGCCCATTTTATAACCAGCATCCAACTTTTCATCAAACCATGCTGTTAGGCTGCTGAAAATAAGTGATGATTGGCAGCCAAATGTTTTCATCAGAGTTATGGAGAGGAAAATAGACTGAAGAACTTCAAAGAATGAGCCCCTTTCTTCCTCAGCCTTTTCTTCAGGCTCTTCATCAGAATCAGTGTCGTCAAAGGAATAACTTTGTCCGCCGTCATCATGTCTTTGCGATATCTATCATTTCGCATCTTTTGCCTTAATTCACTCCATCTATGCATTATAAATTCATTTTCAAACTCGAAATCCTGATAAGTGTTTCTTTGGACAGGATTAGAGGTGTGCATGCCAGACTTGAGTACTCTATCATACTGAACCTTTGTTGCTTCATTAGATAGCACCTATTTAACAGAGAAAGCAAAGACAACTCGGCCATAAAACTTTAAAACTGAATACACAAAAGATGGGGAAAAAAAAGGAACAGACAAATGATTTTAGTCAATGATCATCAGGTTCAATACCAAACAAAAAAAAAGAAAAAAAAAAAAAAAAGAATTAACACACAACCCAAAGGAGAGGGAAAAGGACTTGCTCACTTGGTAGGCGAGATGAATACTTTTGAATACTTCACCAGCTCGTGAATCCTTGCTAACATCAGGATGCCACTGCAACCACATACAAGACACTGCAATTTCTAGTATCAATTGATTCACAGTAATTGATACACCACAGATACTTATCAGCATCCCCTGAGGGTGAGATTTTTAAGAGGAAGTAAGCAATGGCTGACCTTTAGCATCACCATTATTTACATTATGAACATCAAAGCAGCAGAAGGCTATTTACAGTAATTGATAAACTATATTAGATACTTTCCGAGCCTCCCTTGGGGTGTGCTTTTCAGGAGGAAGCAAGCAATGGCTAAGCTTCAACAGCACCAGAATTTACATGTAAAATAAATCATATGAGCATCAGAACATCAAAGGCAATTTCAGTGCTGAGCTCATGATGGACAATATACGTTACTATTTCTTCTAAGCGGCTTTGAATGAAACTACAGGCCATAGATTAGACCTTTCCTGGCTGCAGTTTGCAATAGACAAAGTATTTCTTTGAGTTATCCGCTCTATGAATGTTTTTCTCTAATGGAAAAATTAGTAACTTTTTCTTAAAAAACTTAGTAAAAAATACACAGATGTTGGCATGCTTCTCCTTGTCCAATCATACAAATGGTCAATTTTCAAAAATTATCCTTAAAATACTTACCAGAAAAGATTATCTGGTCAAAGCATTCACTTATCCTGTTATGATTAATGTGCCTGGACTTTGATGTAAAAAATCAACTATGTATTCCCCTTAATTTGCATTACCAAATCAGGAACAATAAGAGAAACCAAAAAAAAAAAAAAAAAAAAATAGTAATAGTAAGTGAATTACTCTGCATTTGAAGTATTATTATTAATATTGTTCAAAAAGTACATATCACAAACAACAAACTATAAATTATATTGTATTTTATGAGAGAATGGGTTATTTAAGGTCAACTCTTGGTGAGCAAGTTCCATGATACTTCCTCCATCACAAAATAATTGCACCATATTCCCTTTTAGGAAACGTCATATGATTGCACCATTTCCTCTTTGAGTATAACTTTTAAGCTAAAATGACAATGGTACCCTTCAAATATATTCGTTCTTTTATCTCTCCTCTCACCCTCTTCATTATTAAACTCTTTTTTTTTTTTGCAAGAAACTACCTTATTAAAAAAAAAACTGGCAAAATACTACCTTATAAACAAAATTTTTTGCAAGAAGATACCAGTTAACGGATTCTCATCGTTGACTTATAATTTGGCGTTGACTAGTCATGTAATGGTGAGGGTGGTGTGAGTAGGGTAGGTGGATGGTGTTTTCAAGGAAGGCGGTGAGGGAGGATGGTTCTTTCAGGGAAGGCAATGAGCGTGGGTGGTGGTTTCACAAGGAGCGGTGAGTGTGGTGGTGATGGTAGTGACCAACACATGTTTAGTCAATGCACGTTTATTAAAGTCAACGATGAGAATCCAACAACTGGTATCTTCTTGCAAAAACATTCGTTTAAAAGGTAGTTTCTTGACATGTTTTTTTTTTTTTTTTTTTTTTTTTTTTTTTTGTGACAGTTCTTGACAGATTATTTTAATAAGGTAATTCTAACAAAATTTCATTCCCAATAACCATGGTTGACATCCAGTAACACCACCTACCCCCACCTCCTTCACCCAAACTTAACCACCACCATCCTTGTTGATTAAACGACCTTTCTCAAGTTCAAATGCCCTAATAACCATCGCTGACGATGCAACCGCAGTAGTCGGCGACATCAAAATCTTAGTCAAAGACCATGCTAGCTTCTAAGACAAGCTTGTGGAGCTAATTTCGTCGAAGTTCTACCTTCCGACGAACAATGAAGAAAAGTTTCAAGGATTATCGAAAGCAACGAAAAACGGAAGTGAAGCTTTAATCGATTGAGAGCATGAAGAAATCAAGACGTGATCGATTAGACACTGAGAAATTGTCGAAATCAACCCTACATTTGTTGACGGACACACTGGAGAGCAAAAAAATGGGTGAAGAAAGCTTCAGATGATGATGATAACACCGGTGGTGGGAGTGAGGAAGCGGTGGAGGGATGACGAGAGAGAGGAGAATGTTGAGGCTAAGGAGAAGAGGGAGTGAGTGTGGTGGGGTTGGTGAAAATCGAAGGTTATTGTATGTGGTGGTTGGGTTATGGTGGGTCAGTGGTTACGAGGAAGAAGGGCAGGGTAGTCTTTTTGACAACCACTTTTCCCTTTTTTAAATAATGTGCCGTTTAGAAATGGTTCAATTATTTATTTAAGAGGAAGTGTGATGTTTTGCACTATGAGGGAATCACGTGGGGATGTAGTAACTTTGGATGGTAAATTTTCAAAAAGCGAGTATTTTAAGTAACTTGCATGGCTTTTACATAAAAGATGGAGATATTGTACAGGATAAATCCGAGTAGACAAACAGAACACTGCAATTAGGTTATTGTCTAGCATCATATAAACCTCCCTTCCCCCCTGGTTTTTCAGTTCTGTGAAAATAAAAGACTAGCTAATCTGGCTTATCTCCCCTTAATTTTCTTATGCTACTTTACTAGCTCATTCTCATATCAATTTCTTATTTGTCTATCTATTAACGAATGCATTCAATTGCCAATAAAAGTTGCTTACATGATGACATAAGTATTTTTGAAAGTTTTTGGAATGGCTTGCAACAACATCAACACATTCATTATATAAGCCATACTCAGATCTAGGAGTAGACTAAATATCCCCCACAATCACCGCAAACAAGAAAGGCATGGGAGAGTGATACTGTTATGCCCGAAACTGCCCAACCATGATGAAATTAGGAGGAGATCAAAATGCTAAGAAAGCCACAATAAGCTACTAGATTTCATCAGAGTTATTTTGACCTTTTGACCAAACACTGGAGCATTGCCACAGCCCACAGTTTATCACTCTGATTCCCGTGCCTCTTCCTGGCCCAACACCCCACATACAAAGCTTTAATTGAAAAATTGCTACACCACAAATGACAGGAACTCGGAGTATGTTCTTTGACAAAAATAGTATAATTTGCTGCACATAGCACAACTTAAACACTTTAATGTGTTCATTAAGAGCACATTTGTTTTTAGTTTTTTTTTTTTTTTTTTTTTTGAGAGCCTCAAGAAACAGGTCAACTATATCACTTCATTTATAGGAGTTTGGTTCAACATTTTTTTGCTTCCAACCCATGCACTTACTCAATCAGACTCCCAACTCCCCCAATCTGACAGTGCTATCACTCGAGCAGCAATAAATACCATTAAAAAGGGCAATAAAAAAAAAAGCACCATTACCACTCTATTCCTTTTCTATTCTATGACCAAAGACCTTTTCGGAGGAAATGATTAAAATTCTTCCTATTCTTTCACACCCTTTAATCATAACCTTTCCACTTCTAGCAAAAATCTAAAGATTTCTAAACCAAACGTGCTGAAATTGTTCATACTGCAGAGTAGAATATACAGTTCCAATTATATTTTTTTTCACTGCTTAGCAGCCAATTAAACTCAACTAAAGCATATCAATCAACAATCATAACACAATAGACGATTTCCAAATTCAATGACATAATAAAATCAAATGTACAAAATGATGAGCTACCACTTAAGTAGAATACAATCAGCACTTCACAGTTACAGATATGCTGCTGCTAGCCTGCTACGCATTTACCATAACATCAATTTAAGTCAACAGCCCAACAGCAAACAGATATGTAAGTCCCAAAGAAATATTGACTACACAAAGTCACTAAGTACAAACTACTGCTGGTTTTTGCTCCAAGGAATAAAGGTAATATATTAAAATCCTTCTCTTGACAAGATATACCCTCTTTCTTTTACTTAATCTTAACATTATTCCACCTTTCTACATGATTACAAGATCATGGTATAACATTATAATTCTCATCAATAACTCACTATTGGATACTCCCTCATATTGCTAATCTTATATTCTTTGTTATCGTTTCCAATGCACAAGTCAAAGCTACAAATCGAGAGGAATCTAACAAAACCCCAAGTGATTATTTTTTTTCTAATACATCAATGAGTACTCATATCCAAAGTTGTGGCAATTTGACCTAGAACATTCCAACTAGATGCATCAACATGAAACAAAGTGAAAACTACAATCATCCCATGGCCATTGACAATAAGAAAAGGGTCCACTCAATACATTGAAACTCTAATTCATTCTATAAGTCTTCCAAATTGAAAGTTTGCATCAAGGAGCCTACTCAAGAAATGCACGTCTCCCTCCTACATACTTTGTTTGATATATAAACATCCAATTCTGTTCTTTTCTTATTCTAATTACTCATCCAAGTTTCCATTAATTTCAAGCGCCAAGTTATCTATTCAACAAATAACACAATCGTTTGGTCATTGCTATACAAATCCTATTGTTACAATTATTTTCAAAACATATCAACAAAAAGTATTTTTCAGAAATATCACTACTATTTCAGTTCCAAAATGAATGCAACAATTTGAGTGGCACACTTTTTAACAAACAACTTCAACCTTTAAAACTCTAATCTTAATCCATCAAAGATATAATTCGTACATTAATAATTTAAAAAATATCTCATACATAACACGAGAGCCTGTATGTACACCCAGGGTCATTTGCTCATTTAATTTACAAATGAGTAAAAAATACGTAATATTATTTGCTCATTTGTTGAATAAATGAGCTAATGCCGGGTGTATATAACAAATTTTAATACAACACGCTATAAACTAAAACACTCAACCAAACAAAAAACTAGATGGAATGAATTCTAATCCATTCCAAATGATCCAACGAAACCACCCTTATATGTTAGTAAAAATGAAAACATTCATCAAAATTTGACAATCAAACTATAAAACCAACTTCCCAACTCATCATCAATTCATTAAATGAAATCAAATGAGCTTAAAATTCAAAAGTAAAAAAGAAGATACCTTACGCGCAAGAAGGCGATAAGCTTTCTTGATATCAGAGGAAGAAGCAGAAGAAGAAATCCCTAAAACAGCGTAGTGATTCTGCTGCTTTTTATTGTGGCCGTCAAATATTGCAGAAACCCAGAAAATATCTCTCCTCCGGCGTCTACCAAGTGGCCTCAACAGAAGCAAATTACCAGCGCCGCCGTATATGGTGGTCGAACTTGGCCATACCGTCAGTTGCCCAATTAGCATTTCTTGCTACTAAATCCAAGCTAAGAATGTTGATTTTTTTGGTGGGGTTGGGTAGTTTTCTTGTATTGTTCCATCAAAGTGGTTTTAGCATTGTCATTGAAGAAAGGTACTATAAGAAAATTGGAATTTTGGGAGAGAAATAGCTTGATTATATGTTGGATTTAAACGAAATGGTCCTTAATCCACTTACGGACGGACTGTGGTAAATTGGTAATTGATTGAAGAGGTTGTGGGTCGGGTCAGGTGAGGTTGGGTTTTGGCCTATTAAGATGGTTGTAGGGGTGTCTATTATTCGGATAAAAATCTAAATTAATCCAATTCAAATCAAATCAATATTTTGGATCGGATTGATTTATTTTGAAAATTCGGATTTTCAAATCGGATTGACTTTATTCAGATCTAAAAAAGCGTAATAACCGAAATATGAAAGCGTTATTTTATAAATAATTATGGTAATATTAATCATGTTAAACTATGTTACTATGTTTATGATTGTTTTAATATTAATCACTGTAGGCGTCGATCGAAGTGCGCCTACGTTAAAGCATGTGGTGAATATGTTTGGCACTCATAGTAAGTGGGAATTGACATACGATTAGGGACAAGGAATATAGGGAGCCGCCAACAAGTTTTTAAGGAACTTGTAAACCGTTCACGGATCATAAAAGACAACCACGAATAAAGGGACAACGATAGGCAACAACGATTGACCCGTGAAGGTTACACCTCATTCATAATCCATGAGATTACTAACTCCATATGGTTTGGAACCACGAAAGGAGGATCGGGGATGATGGTACGAAGTGAGTCATGGAGTCACATTCGCCTGTATTGGCCTCTACTCGATTCTTATTGCGAAAAGCATTCCTGCAATCTCAAAGGCATACAAATCAGAGATTCAATTTGCTCCAAACTATTATTATGCTAAATTGGTTTAATATTAATGCAACCATAATTCTAAAATATCGTAATCACTTGATTTAACAACAAGATTAAAAAGGAACCTAAACCAGTCGTCCAAATTATCTTATTAGGCGTGATTTTCAATTACATATTTCCTTTAAAGATGCAATATGGTGATCATAATAATAAAAATAGAATAAATATTAATATTGGAAGCAATTTAACGATAATAGCGTTAGTCAAATCAAAAATTAAAATAACCTAATCATGATATTAGCAATATTAAAATAAAACAAGAGTAATTAAATTAATTAATTACTCACCTTCTGCGCGTTCCTTTAAATTGCTACATCATGAATAAACTGTTAGTAACTTCAATAAAAAATATAAAACAAATAGAAATTAAATTAAATTAAATTAAATAAAAAAGTAGAGTTAATTTGGTCCAAACCCTCAGTTATTTATACCTTTCACGCCTTGGTTTAAGGACGGAACCTCGGGTGTTGTATGGACTCCTTGGAGTGCTTAGGGGAAGAATGATGTAATTAGGAATATAGGTTTGAGGCTTAGAATATGAGAGAAAGAGAAGAGAATGATTTTCGGTGTAAAAGAGAGAAAGAGAGAAGGATTTGATGCCCCGAACTGCAGAAAGGAGGGGATATTTATAGGGAAAATGAGTAAAGGGAACACACGGAACCCTAAAAAGATAAAAACCCTAAAAAATAACACCGCTACACGGCAGAGAACACCGTGAAACGGTGCCAGGCACCGTCAGACGACGCACACTCCCGTGACACGGTGGAAAACAGGAGTGACGCGGGACATATTTGACCTACGGGAAGTGAAAACGCGTGAAGGGTTTACGAGGAAAAGACACAAGAAAATTTCGTGATGCGGCACACGTACCATGACACGGCAGTGTCCACCATGGCACGGTACAGTACATCGTGTCATGGTATGGGAAAACGCGGAAATTACACAGAAAAAGCACCGTGACACGGTGAGAAATACCGTGTCACGGCAGCAGGTACCGTGTCACGGCAGCAGATACCGTGTCACGGCAACAGGTACCGTGCCACGGTGGAATTTGAAGAAAAAGCTTCGAAAATAGCACTGTGACACGATGTTCAGTACCGTGACACGGTGCCAGGCACCGTCAGACGGGCCCAATCTCGTGACACGGTGCTTTTGCACTGTGCGTGGTGATTCCAGTTTTTTACTCGTTTTTAAAATCATCATAACTTTTGATCCGTAACTCGGAATAAGGCATAAAATATATCATTGGAAATCTTATCAAGTCTACTTTTCAATCCAATTGGAATCAGGTAAAATGATTTGCATATTTTAACATATGGCCGTTTTAGTGGAAGGGTGTCGGTTTTGGGCCGAGTTTAGTGTTTTGCTCATATCTTTTTCGTTATAGCTCGGAATTGGGCTTATGATATATGGTAGAAATCTTAATTCAAGGCCTATCCAATCAAATAACAATTGGATCAAGATTACATATCCATAAAGTCAGTTTTTCTCGGTTTTGCGATGTGGACACGAAAAGTGGATAACAAGTTATGGTTTAGGGAAATGACCTAGTGTAGACACCCAAATGTGTCTCCCCAAAACCAAACCCAGTGATGAATAACTTTCATGTCATTTGATTATTGAACGACGCGAAATTGTGAAAAGTCTAGTGATGAGGATGTTTTTATTAAAATATCTCTTCTTTCTGTTTTTGAAAATATTTCTTTTCTTACCCTATTCTAGTGATGAGGATGTTTTTATTAAAATATCTCTTCTTTTTGTTTTTGAAAATTTCTTTTCTTACCCTATTTTTGAAAAACGTGCATTCTAGTTTAGTTTGGTCCATGATATGGGTCCAATAATGGTGTAGTTGGATGGGGTTTGAAAAGACCTTTCCAACGATATATTATAAGCCCAATTCCGATGAATAATGAGAAAGTTATGGCCAAAATACTAAACTGGGCTCGAACCGGATTTTACCTACGGCCCAATGATCATGTGGAGGGTCCAAAGGTTTAATCCTATTCCTAAAATAATTAGTATTAATTAGAGGCTTCTATAAGTTTTTAAAAAATCTTAATTATCTTTTTTGAAAAGATAAGATTAAAGAATTTGAGTTAAATAAAAACTTTCTTTTTTCTTAAATTCTAATTCTATTCGAATTTAAAGATGTTCAAAGACAGTCAGATTTTATTTTCGTTCCTCATAATCTTTATCCAAATTTTATATGGTTAGATATATCTTGAAATTATCTTTCCAATTATATATTATAATGTTAAATCCGAGTTATAACGAAAAAGATATGAATGAGATATGAAACTCTATCCAAAACTGACACTGTCCCACTATTTCGGCCATATCTTTTTATCTACAAAAGATTTTAATCTGATTCTAATTGTGTTAGAAAGTAGACTTCAATATCTTTCCAACTACATATTATATGCTTTATTTGGACTTTTGGATCAAAAGATATGATAAAAACAAAATCTGCAAAAACTGCTGTCCATCGAGTTCTATTTCGATTCGAATTCGGATTCTTTTCTTATTTTTCAACCCTCTTTTTTCTCTATAAATAGAGGCCATATCTCCCCTTTTTCCATCACCAACTCTCATCAAGAATTTCTTGATTCTCTCTCTCTTTTCTAAACTACCCTTTTACAAATACAATTCCTCATACATTAGCACTAGACACACCTAGCATAATTCGAAGTTGCCTTCGGCCTAGACGTGAAAGGTTTTAATTTCTGAGGGTTTAGTCCCAAATCTCTATTTCAATTATTTGATTTAATTGTTTTAATTATTATTTTCCTTGAAGTTACTAACGCGTGTATTTTGTTATTAGAAAGAGATACGAGGCATCCAAGTAAGTGCTTTAATTATTTTATTGATTTTATGATATAGAAATCATGCTTAGATTGTTTTATTGATTCATAGTATCATGTTTAGGATGTTCCTAGTATCATGATAGGATGCTTTCTTTAGTATGATATTTAGGGTGATTTGCTTATATAAATCATGATTCCTGCGATGCCTTTTATTTTCTTTCCTAATATCATGTTAGTATCATGTTAGGGTTGAAGCTTTGATTTTTATTGCTTAGTGACATGCTAGGGTTTGTTATTAATCTTGTTAGTATCATGCCTAGGATCTTGCTGTTATTATGCTTTAACATGATTATGATTATTTTAATTATAATTTTTTATTATGATTATTGTTTATTATTATGTTGCTTGATATTTTATTGTTATTGCTTGATCACGCCTTTTATGCATGTTTAAAGGGAATTGGTACTTGTAATCACGCTTAATAAGATAATTATTAATCTTGTTTAGGGTTAATATGATTATAATTCAAGTGATCGCCAATAATAGATGTATTTGTGCATTAAATTCAACCAATATAGATAAACAGGTTTAGGGTTAAACCTATTGATTGCATGTTAGTCAGAAAGCGCACATGAATACGATCAGAATAAAGTAGAGGCCTATTATTAGGGCAGGTTCAATCTCTTTTAGGTTGGATTTGTACCTTCATCCCCGAACTACCAGTCATGGTTCCAGACCTATTGGAGTTAATGATCTCCTGGATCGTTAAGGGGTGTAACCTTCACCTTGTGAACGGTTTACAAGTTCCTAAAACTTGTTGGTGACTCTTTTGCTCTATCTTCTTTCCCTTTGGACGCCACCGTACTTTAGTGTATGATCACAGTGGGGTTCAAGCTAGGGATAATGCTTGAAATATTCCCTACACCTAGGAAATGGAGTGGTTTATGAAATGTATTGGATAGAACATGCATTTAAGCACTCCAAAGATTAAATACTCAACACGACTAATAATGGCGGTGAAAGGTGTTCATCATCGGGTTTGGTTTTGGGGAGACATTTTTAGGTGTCTACAATCACGTAATATTTTCAATACTTGTATTAATTGTGTACAACTATACTTTGAAGAATCGAAGTTTCATTATTACGGAGTACATTTTTATTTTTATAATCGTATTAGGCTAAAAAAAATTAGCAACGTATTTTAATTCGGATTTCGGATTTGACCAAATAATCGAATTACAATTCGGATTGGATTGGTAAGTGTTAAACTCAGGAAATATTTGGAGAAAACGACTTAACCTTTGCGTTGATAATAATCACATATATATACACAATGCATTAGGAAACCTAATTAGCCTAAAACTCCTAATAAGATAAAGTTAACATAAATACAATATTAACATAAATATAACCAAACCAACTTCTAATACTCCCCCTCCAGTTGGAGGGCATATTGCGAATGCCCAACTTGTGTAACAGAAAACCAAACTGCTGACGTCCAAGAGCCTTGGTTAGAATATATT